ATGTGTTGAAACAAGCTCAGAAATTATCATCAGTATTCCGTTCTCATCTGCTTTAATGTAAAAGGTCAGTTGTTCTATGGTTGTGTGTGTATGTGTGCATGTGTGTGTTGTTTAGTAAAACAACATAGCAGAATCAAAACAAACATGGCCATCTGCAGCTGCGCTCTTGTACAACTAATAATTATAATAATCATACAAGTAATAATATCACATGGGGATTTTGGGGCGTCATCACCTCAAGGCAAGAAGGTCGCTAGTTCAAGCCTTGGCTGGGTCAGTTTGCATTTCTGTGTAGTTTGCATGTTCTCTCTGCGTTCGCCGCGAGTTTCCTCCGGGTGCTCCGATTTCCGGTGAATTGGGTAAGCTAAATTGTCTGTTTTGTATGTGTGTGAATAAGAGTGTATGGGTGTTTCCCAGTGATGGGTTGCTGGATATATGCTGGATAAGTTGGCGGTTTATTCTGCTGTGGCGACCCCAGATTAATAAAACTGAATGAATGAATAAATAAGATGGGGTTTTACTGTTACTTTGCTCTGTGGCATGTTTTAGTGTTTTAAAATGTTTTAATGCCCCTGACTCAAATATGAGAAAAATTATTATCAATATTAAGTATTAAGTTAATTAATATTAGTTAGTCTAAAGTAATAAAAAAAAAACATATTTATTAGTATAAATGTATATAAATATTCTTAGTGAAATAATAAATCATGATTTCCATTAAAATAATTGTCTTTTACAGAGTTGGCAACTGTTATTAACTGTAGTTTAAGTGTCTTGAATGAATCTTAGGGCTGCACAATATATAGTTACAGCATCGATAACGCAATATGTGAATCTGCAATAGTCACATCGTAGGGATCTGCAGTGTAGTCGGGATTATAGTTGACCAGACATTACAGTTTACAAAATAGTGGAGTAATTCTAAATTTTAACCTTGGAGTGAAGGTTTATTGTTTGCATGTGTTTGCGACTGTGTAAGCATTTAAAGCTAATTTAAGCCATTTGGGCACAATAAATTAAACGTTTGTACCTAAAAGATTAAATGTATAATATATAATTATTTACTCAATGAAAATGATAGTGTTATTGTTATTACTATTAAGGAGTGATTATTTAAATTCAGTTTTTTGAATACTGTTCATCTACCCAGCAAATCATAAGTCATTGTCTATTTGAATATTTTCTCTGTTGTAATTAAATTTGCTTGACATATTTAAATTAGCCTATGTTTTATGCAGATATTTGAAATCCCATTTTAAAAATTCTTCACAAGCCATTTGGGTCATCTGGTGAAAATACATTTATATCGCAGTAAATAAAAATATTGCAATATCAGTTTTTTCCAAAATCGTGCAGCCCTAATCTTAAGTCTGTACAGTTGAAGTCAGAATTATTAGCCCCCTTTTGGAACAAACCATCATTATACAATAACTTGTCTAATTATCCTAACCTAGTTAACCTAATTAACCCAGTTAAGCCTTTAAATGTCACTTTAAGCTTTGTAGAAGTGTTTTTATATATATATATATATATATATATATATATATATATATATATATATATATATATATATATATATAGTAAAATATTATTAACTGTTATCAAGATAAAATAAATCAGTTTTTAGAAATGAGTTATTGAAACTATTATGTTTAGAAATGTGTTGAAAAAAAAAGTTCTCTCCGTTAAACAGAAATTGGGGAAAAAAATAAACAGGGGGTTTATTGTATTGATTTCTTTTTCTGTTAAATACTAGTTAGCTTAATTATTATTTATAAATTCATTCATTATTAATTCATGTCTTTTAAAAAAATCGCATCTATCTTTGTAAATTACATTTTTGCAGAGTATCTGAAATTAAACATTTTTTAAAAATCTGCATGCAGATATTTTTCCCCTTCCTGTTAAAAACTAGTTTAAATTAAAAAAATCTGAATAAGCTTTTAAATATATTTGACAACTAAATAAAATATTTTTCCATATAATAAACTATTTAATTAATCACTTATGAATTCATATTAATTTAGAACAAATGTAATCCCAATTACATTATCATTAATAATCAATCATTAATAACAATAACAATCATTAATACTGATTAAAACGGACACTTCTGCTTAATAAATATACATTTAAATTTCATTGCATCAAAGTACCATAAAAGACACCATAAGATTGAGAATGAAAGCATATTTTAAAACTAGATAGCAGATAAAAGACAATAGTGGACTATTAATATATATTTTTTCCATTTTATATTATGTTCTAAAGCTTTATTCTTAGATTCTTAGAAGGTTTTATGTCACTCTAAGGTTGCAGTGTGTGTTGCACTAGTAATTGAGTTACTAGTTTTACCAATGTTGACGATCAAGTCAGTTTAATAGAGTGGACAGGGGGTAGGTTAATGAGAGTTTGATCTGTGATTAATGTCAGCAGGTCAGTCAACTTCAACGTTCCTCCCACTCTCATCATACACGCCTCCCTATATGGAGCAACAGTTGGATGGTGACACATCATTTCTGTATTTGTGATATGAATAGATTGCAGAGAACAGTGTGTGTGTGTGTGTGTGTGTGTGTGTGTGTGTGTGTGTGTGTGTGTGTGTGTGTGTATAATGGAAAGTTCTGATGCTCATTCATGCTTCTGTGCCTTTTTGTCAGTGTATTTGGCACAGGTGCAGGACTCACCCATAGTAACGGCCGTTTCTTCCCCAGAGTTTCTTTTTGTCCTTTGATCCGGGGCTCGTTTCTGCCCCCTGGGTTTCCAATTATCACGCCCCTCCATTTCTGTCTCCCACTCATTTGTTACGAGGGTCAACGATGTGAAGCTCGTTTTTGTCTCCGTCTAATAAGTTATTCAAATGCAATTCATGCAAGGAACGATTTGAATACACTCTATGACCTGATGCGTTTTTAATTTCGGAATTAAATGTGATTTTGTTGCCCGGTTTAAAAGGCTGATGTCTGAGGGAAAGAAATGTATGCCGAATATGAAGAATATTTTTATAAAAAAAAATTTAAATATGCAAATAAAAAAACTGCACTGTAAAAATATTTCAAAATAAACAGTTTTCTGTATTTGGTGATTTATGTTTTTCCCCCATATATTTATGCTTTGAATTGCATTATGAGATCTTGATCTTTCCTCCAAAAGCTTTTGATGTTTAAAAGTTCGAAAAAAAGAAATGCTTGTTGAAATTTTTAATAGTTTAAAATGATATATTGTCTGTGTTCTTGTAAATTACTGTACAAAAAAATTGTAACAACCTGGCAGTATTTTTTTCTGTAATTTTACAGACATAGTTGTCTCTGTGTTAAAGCTGTGCGATTAATCAAAATTGAATCGCAATCGCAATTTGAAACAACTTAGTTAATCGCAAGAGGCTGCAATGTGAATTATATATGTATTATTTAATTTCCTACACCCAGCAAATGCGTGACTGCTGGCTGTGTGTGATAGTCTCAAGCCCCAGTCAGATCACATGATTGTTATTGTAGGTTGCGAAAGTCACTATTCTGAATGTCACATTATGCGATTTCGTCTTAATAAAACCTTGACTTGTTGTGGGCAGGGGCGGATTTAAGCGGGGTCAGTGAAGTAATCGCCCGCTTAGGGCCCCAGGAAATCTGGGGCCCCCCAATAAATATCTAGAAGTATAAATGATACCTATAAACTATATATAACATTATTTTCTATCAAATTATAGTGAGAATTGTTCTACATGATTAAAATATTATTTAATATATACTAAAATATAATTTTATAATAATGATGTAATGTTATGTATTATATGTACTAAATGTTTTAAAATAAAAATATCCACCACCCCAATCATGAAACAGTCCAACAGTCAAATTTATATATATATATATATATATATATATATATATATATATATATATATATAAAGAGAGAGAGAGAGAGAGAGAGAGAGAGAGAGAGAGATATATTCAATCTGAATAATAAACACTGATGTTTGCTGACAATTAGGCTACATTATTTAACTACATTATATAAGGGCATTATAAAATTAAGATATTTTTCTTTTAAATCTAAATGTATATTTTCCAGCCATGGGTTGCTTATTAAACACTCCCTCGCCTTAACTTGGCGCAAGTGAGAAGGAGAAAAAGAAAGCACATCAGCATGTTCATCATGCTCAAGACAACATAATGACATATTAAAAAACTATCAAAACTATGACAGAGGTTTGTGATACAACATTTACAGTGGAGCATTAATTAAATCCTTATTTTCCACAGAGCAAAGCAAATCATCCAACCGCATGGTGGACTCACTCAATCAAAAAATATATAGTTTTTGTATTTTTCTTGGAAAAAATATATTTTTGAAACAAATTTCATATAATTTGTATCTTAATTTTCATGTATTTTTTTGTTGGTCAGTTGTCTACTAGATAATTAAGAATAACAAATTACATCTGAGGTGAAGTTAGAAAATGAAACATGCTAGACTTTTTGTGATGGTGTTGTGAGGTATCGCAGACATGGTATTGGTTGTCGTGAACTATGTCACATTGCATGAGGAGAAATAATTGATTCTTGTGTCATGACATCCGTTTGTCGACTTTCCAGGACACCCTACGTCAAGGAAATCAAGCCGAAATTGTGTGATCTGACCGGGGCTTTATGACTAGCCAATTGAGCTATACAAAATTTAACTTAATATTTGAAGTCAGTTTGATGGATGTAAGTTTAGTACAATTTAGTAAAATTAATTCATTTCCTCTAAACATAAATTAATATGGCAATTTTTTTACAGTGCAATAATTATAATAATAAAAATAAGAAGAAGAACAAGTTTATCAGATTCACTTTCACAGTGTGGAAAAACAAACTGAATGTTCTACTTCCCCTTAATGTTCCACACACACAATTTGCCTGTCAAACCACATTTACTTATGTAGAATAACACAGGAGTCACTCAGTACTTGTACATTTCCATTGCATTACTAATAATCCTCTGTCTTTGTCTTGCAGTGTCTTCATAACTCATCATCACCAAACCGCTCGACACTGACTGGATCAGGACGGGTCAAGCAGCTGGAGGCAAGGAAATCTGACCTTTTGTTCAAAGCAGTTCACATGGTCAATGCTACAAGATTAGTGACCTATAAATATGCAATATATCATACTCAATTCATGCCATAATATTTTATATCGCTACCACAAACCACTCAAATCTAGATTCAGATTCCTTATGTTCGCTGCAGTTCCAACATTTTTTGGACCACAGTATATTTCGGCTGGTGTGATAATGCGTTTAGCTATGTTTGAATGTGTTTAAGATCACTCAGCAGTTTCAAGATGGCCAAAAACAGTCTGCAGATTCTGTCTGGACCTGCTTATGACTCCTGGCCCGATTTTATGGTATTAATACTGAGGTCTGATTTCATTGAGGTCTTTTTTTCTGAATGATAAGTGTATGCGGTGGGGAAAGAACCTGTCAGTGTTTGTGAATTTTCCTGCCGCTGCTTACTGGCGGTTTCACACTTCACACAGCAGACATGTGGTTTAGCATTTTTTTACGATGAGTAGTACAGCGTGTTCCTTAAAACACGCGCTACTCCAATCACAGATGCATACGTGCGACCCCCATGAGGAAGTGAATCTATTGACGAGGCAAACATGGTACAGACTGATCTAGAAGCGTTTTTGCCATCTTCCTGCCACTCACCTCATTTATTGCTTGCGCACGTTGCATGTTTGCTTACATTGTGTACTGTTGTGGCTTTAAACCACAATTTGTTCTATTATCATTTGCATTGTAAACAATCGTCACGTTTGTTTATGCATGCTACATGCTAAAAGAATAATCAACAGGTTTGCCAGAAAAATCCGTTTTCCTACTTTCCAATCCAACTTCCTTGTTTAAAAATGATTTGTGAAAGATTAGGATGTTTTGTAAACTTCTGCTAATGTGCATGCAGGGCCTAAAACATTTTAGCACATTTTCCAGTGGCTTGAACTTTTAAAAATTTAAGTATTTTTTAAATGACCATGACATTATATATGTATTATTATTATTATTATTGTTATTATTATTATTATTTATTATTTATTTTTATTTTTTTATTATGTTTTAAATTAATTAAATAATTGAAATTAATTACTTTTAAAAATGTTAATTAGAAATCATATATATAATTGTGAATTCATTCATTCATTCATTTTCATGTCAGCTTAGTCCCTTTATTAATCCAGGGTCGCCACAGAGGAATGAACCGCCAACTTATCCAGCAAGTTTTTACGCAGCGGATGCCCTTCCAGCCGCAACCCATCTCTGGGAAACATCCACACACACATTCACACACACACTCATACACTATGGACAATTTAGTCTACCCAATTCACCTGTAGCGCATGTCTTTGGACTGTGGGGGAAACCGGAGGAAACCTACGCAAACGCAGGGAGAACATGCAAACTCCACACAGAAACGCCAACTGAGCCGATGCTCGAACCAGCGACCCAGCGACCTTCTTGCTGTGAGGCAACAGCACTACCTACTGCGCCACTGCTTCGCCCCGTTAATTAGAAATCATATATAAAATTGTGAATTATTAATGTTGTTATAATAATAATAATAAAATTTTTATAAAAATAATTATAATTAGTAACAGCCACAGCCATTATATAACAGTTCATAACACTCACATTTGCATCTTTTTCAGCATTACACTCCATTTCCACTCACACCTTTTCAAGTATTCTCAACTATTGATGAATAAGTATAATAAAAAGTCATACAATTCAGCATTATTAACTTACTTTTCATATCATTAGTTAAAACTATTTGACATCTAAGGATTGTCCAGACCTGGCTCATTTTGGGTCAGACTTGTAAATTCTTAACTGCAGACTCGCTCATATTGGTTGATTTCATTTAAGGAGGAGTTTACTTGAAAACAGATGCAGAAGCAGATCGGGCCCATTCATAACCAAGTGATTTAACAGTTAAATTGGAAAGTACAGTATTAGCTCTTTATGAATCATACAGAGAGATCAGAGTTGTTATGAACAGAAATGTTATGAAAAGTTGTTATGAACAGAAATGTTATGAAAAGTATGGTATTATGCTTTGGAATAGAGTGAAATGTTTATAAATATTTCTCAAAGTGAAGTTTTATAAACTATTTTTTAAGGAGCACATGATATAATTGATTGCTACTGGTTTCTCATCTGTAATCATCAATAAACCAATCAGATTAATCCAAATCTACTGTAAATAGCCCATTTCACCTTACTTCCTTTATCTTTGTTTCTGAAGAATCTCCCTGTCCACCCCATCCCACCCTTTTCCTCCTTTACCAGGGGAGCTCTCAAGAACTATCTGATCTCGGGCCCTCTTATGAGATAACTGACCAGACCAATTATCTCCAAGCTCAACATTCTCTCCCAGGACAGCATGCCAAACCAGCTGTTGTTATCAAGCAATATCGAAGTGTAAACTCTTGTGAAAAAAAATAGTCTAATAAAATACAGATACTTGAAAAACTTGTCACAGTTCACCACTGCTGGCATGCAGATAATATGCCTAGTGAGTGTGAATCTCTGACTACGAGCCTACATGGGTCTGTGTTCAGTCTAAACTCTCTGTACAGTACAGTTTATTCATTTGCTGCAGAAGACTTTTAAATAGAAATTTTAAAATAGAAATTTGTAAATAAAAACTCTTCTAGGAAAAGCCATCATGAAGGTTTCAAAGAAAAATTCAGTTGAATTACAGAGAAAAGCAGCACTTTGCTTTCAATGGTGTAAAGAAATAACGATAAGCCTCCAGTAAATGATGCTCTCGAGCTATTTTTTGACTCAGTAATAGGAAGTGCACTCGAGTATCTGTGATATCATCATCACCTCATATCTTTAGACACGTCATGTTCAATATAGACATTCTCCAGAACTGTTCAACAACTTTTAGATATGCAAAATAAACAGCAATACACTCTCAATGTCTGATCGATTTAATAAGATGTTGCTATTTATCAGCAGTAAAAAGCAAAGTCACATTAAGAAGCAACTGACAGTGAATGTATTTTTGCTGGATTCAGTTTTTAAAGTGATGCTACATTGATTCACGATGAGCTTCTTTTGTTGAATTCACTCTGATATAATAATATCACATGCAAATGTTTTCTCATCTGCAACTTTATTAGATGTGTATCAGACACATAAATGAATATCTCCAGCTGATGGATGGAGACATGCTCATGCTCATGCTCATGTTTTTTATGCCACCCTACCATCCGAATATCACAGCAGAAATCGAGACTCATCTGAACAGACATCCTTTATCCAGTCTTCTAATCTTTTTTTCGTGAGCCTTGTGAATTGTAAAAACTGGAGGCCAATCTCATGGCAATTCAACAGTAGCTTCGGTTTTGTAGGCAATTTTTATTATCTTATACAATCGCATTTGTATATTTAATATAATTTACTCATCCCCCAGTGAGGGGTAGGTTTAGGGGTGGGGCTTGGGGACTTGCCTCCTTTGAAAGAATTAACATAAAATTCTTTATACGAATTTACAAATGTAAAATAATTAAGTTTCCTTGTGGGATCGTACTGTCTGTTCTGTTGTAGCTCATCTGCTTCAATAGCTCGGTTTTTATCCAAAGATGAGAATTAGACGTATGAATAAAGCTGGAATATCGCATAAAACATTTGTGAAAAAGCATTGTTTCCATCTAATGAATCAAAGAGAATAACATTTTTTGCTTCCTGATAAACTGGTGCCAAGTATGAAAAAAAAATAATTGCTGTGGTAGGAGAAGCCGCTATGAACCTTTTTACTTATATAATATACTTGCAAAAAATACTATGTAAATTAATGAATGATTGTTCTTTTCCAGGATTTTTCAATATATTCTCTTTAGTGTTTAACTGAATAAAGAAAGTGGAGGATTAGTAAACGATCATACACCCGGCGCAAGACGTGTGTGGTGTGATTTGGTAACTAGCGCAACCCTAATTTTCATGTTTTATGCAACGTTGTTTAAATAACAAATCCATTTGCACCATTTTGTGGACTCACGGGTGTGCTGGTCTTAAAAGGATGTGTGTTAATACGCATTGTTGACACATTGATATTATGAAGAACTGAAATGGACTGCACCATTGACCAACTAAAAACTGGTCTAAAGTCCAGCACAGAGCAAATTAGATGTGCCCTTATGCAAGCCCAAATGCTTACACATTGCTTTATACACACATCGTGCACAATATTACACAACGTACAACGTATTGTACAACGTGTACAATATTACACAAAAATCTTTACATATGAAAAAAATAAAGGATTAAATTGTTACAATAATTATTATTTTCTAAATAAATACAAAAACAACTACCTCCATGCCTTCTTCATCTATGGCTTTTTTTTTAGTTTATTTAGTTTATTTTTTTAGTTTATCTGTCTACTGTTTTGGAGTTGTATCCATCACCATATGGGGCATAAGAATAGGATGTGTGTTTACTAAATTATAATTTTTTGACCACACTTCGTTATTATTGTTTATTTATTCGTTTGCTGGAAATTAGGACTGAATTTAGAAATAGTTTTGAAACAAAATTTTTTTTAACAAACAAAATTAATTATGTAGGCTAATGGAGGACTTCAGTGGAGAGAGTTTTCACCTTTTCCTAATCCAGAAAAGTAAAGGAGGAAAGAGTAAAAAGTAAAAAGAAAGTAAACAGGTCAAATGTAGGAGACTTGTTCTTTATACTTGCGCGGATGGTCTGTTTAACTGTTTTCTTCAAGTTAAGCCTTCAGTTTTTCCACTTACAAAGTCCGCCATGTAAATGGCAAATGCGCCATAAAGGGAATGGTAGATGATAATCTGATTGGTTTATTGCTTGTTATGCTCCAAACTCTCCCTAAACTCATTAAGAGAATAAGCACAACCCTGTTAGAACATTTGCAGCATTTTCTGTTCTTAAAATAGCAGCGTATATTTCTGTTCTTGAAATAGTAAATGGATTCAGGCACACTCTTAATGCTTTTGCATCATTCACTTTAGACTCTGCGCCTAGATCATTAAAATAGAGCCCTTTAAGTCCACCTATGCAGGTCATTCAAACAGACTTCAGTTCGATTTGTGGCCACTAATTGTGCAGAAATGTACCTTTTAAAAGTAAAGCGTACTTTTATTCTCCTTCATTTGTATTATATTTGACAACTCATGAAACTGCTGCAACACAGTATTACAGTTTCAGACTTGACTTCTTAGTCAATAGAAAGTCAATAGAATGAATGAATCAGTGAAACAGTATTTCAATGCCAATTTTAAAATTCCATTACATGCAATTACCAAATAAGTGCATTCAAATGAGTTGAAAAAAAACGTTTGTTTGCTGTTAAGGATAAAGGAAGGACTTTAAATCATCAGAGAATAAGCAGTATGCTGTATAAATATGACATGTCTAAGTTAGTAACTTTTTTTTTTCTTTTTAGTTAGTTTCATTCCATATACCTTCCAAAATCAGTGTCTGAGCCTAAACTGTGCAAGTTTCATTTCTTGTATAGCAAACCAAGACTAAAGGCGGCAATATGAGTTTAAACACCTGGTAGTGCCAGACTGTCTGCCAGGCTGCGCCCAGTCCCAGGAGAATGACGATGTCATAATTGTTGTTCTTTGCACCGTCACTGGCAGGAGGAGCATTAACAATCTATTGTGTGTGTGTGTGTGTGTGTGTGTGTGTGTGTGTGTGTGTGTGTGTGTGTGTGTGTGTGTGTATTTGTACCCTCAGGGCTTTCTACAGTGAACTCAAACTGAACATATACACATAAGCACATGTTCCTGTCTATTCAAAGGTAAGAGTTCTCAGGGCAAGGGTTACTTGCTTCAAAGCACATACACACACACATACACTCATACTGTATATGGCCGTCCATGTTGACTGCAGTTTATCAGGGAAAGTGGAGCTGTCCTCTCCTGCAGAGCTCATCTGCTCCTGTGCCACCCTGCAACCCCCTGTAGACATTAGTGGGCTTTCC